GATTGATTGATTGGTTGATTGGCAGTGGGGGGGTCGCCTCCCCCCTTTGAACACACACACACACACACACACACACAGCCTCGGGGTGTGTCCCAAACCTGCGCCGAGCCCGTGTTCCCGACCTGCCTTGTGTCGCGGACCCTGTCTACCTGCCTCACTGTCTACCTGCCTCTCTATCTGCGTGCTTGTTTGCATGTCTACCTGTCTGCATGCCTGTCTGCCTATCTGCCTGTCTGCCACGTCAATACCTGTGAGACAGACAGACGGGAAGACAAGCCAACAATCAAACAAACAGACTGACTGACTGACAAACAAACAGTTAGCCTGGCTGTCTGCCTGCATGCCTGGCTGCCACATCAATGCCTGCCTCTCTGCCTGCATGCGTGCCTGCCACGTCAACACCTGCGTGCATGTCTGCCTGTCTGCCACGTCAACACCTGTGAGACAGACAGACAGGCAGACAGGCAGACAACCAAACAGACTGACTGACTGACTGACAAACAAACAGTCTCCTTGCCTGTTTGCCTGTTTGCCTGTCAGGCACACTGACAGACAGGCAGACAGGCACACAGAGTGGGGCTTTGAAACGACAAAAAAAAAAAAAAAAAAGAGCATGCCTTTCTGCCTGTCTGCCACGTTAACACCTGTCTGCCTGTCTGCCTGTCTGCCTTTCTGCCTCTCTGTTTGTCTGCCTGTTTGCCATGTCAACACGTGCGAGACGTCAACACTCATGCAAACCTGAGAACAAGTCCAGGTCCACACTCACGTCAACCTGGGCCCAAGATCAGGTCAATGCCCAGCCCGGGGCAAGGGCCAGGTCAACGTTTACTGTATAAAACATTGACCAAGCCGAGTATGGAGCATGTCAAACTCCAACTCGTCAACGCTGCTGTTAAGTGGAACTCCACTACGCTGCTGCTCCATAGCCCACCTCTCTCTCCATCGCTTTGTCTCTCTCTGTCTCTCTCCGTCTCTATCCTACACTCTCTTTCTCTCTCCATCGCTCTGTCTCTCTCTGTGTCTATCCTCTCTCTCTCTCTCTCTCTCTCTCTCTCTCTCTCTCTCTCTCTCTCTCTCTCTCTCTCTCTCTCTCTCTCTCTCTCTCTCTCTCTCTC